TCACCGAATATAAATACTAGTTTACCTTTTTTGTTGTTGTTTTGTTTTCAGAAACAGGCCGGTAAACAAACCGCTCTGTGGTTTGCCAGTCTTAAATTTCAATCTTCGGTTCAGAATGATAGCTGCACCGCAGCGTCATTAGAGGGCTTAAGAAAAGCAGGTATCGCAAAAAAAGTATTAATGCGAAAATCTTAACTGTCCCATGCGCATGAAGCGAGCCGACGTCATCAGCTTTGAAACCGCGCCAAGCGGCACCTTAAATCCTTTCTCCAAGTGAAGCCAGCTCCCAGCTATAAAACCACGCGGAGAGCCTGGCCAAACGGCACCTAGTTTCCCCGATCCCAAAGGAGCGGAGTAAAGCTGATGGATTTCGGCTTCGGTCCCATTGGCTGGCGCACGTTGACGAGGCTCCCATTGGCCGCTGCGCGTCAGTTTCAAAGACCGCCACCCCATGGCGCTGCGGGTCCGTCAACGCGCCGGTAATACGATACGTCCAAGGTCAGAGCGGCGAGGAGAGGGCGTGCTCTGCCGTTGACGCAGATACGCTGCAGACGAAATAAGAGGCGTGGAAGAATGACGTGCATGCTTTCGCATTCACAACTCATAAGAAGTGCTTATAGGTGTACCTCGAGCTTTTTTTCAAGATAACGTACTCGTCATGCTAAAGCAATACGCGGTACTGAAGACGTGGTGCTGAAGGCCATTGGTATATGTTTCGCAGGTCCACTGGTGGGAAAATCGCAAAAAGTTTAATCCTATAAGCACTGCGTTAAAGGGGTCCTCCGACAGCCGTCAGTAACAGTGCCATTTTACCGACGGAAGAAGGCAACGCCACTGTTTCTAACGCGGAATCTTGCTACATGGCTGACACCTAACCAGGAGTTTCCTCAGGAATTGAAATTATGGGGGTGTCTAAATTTTTAGGGGGGGGGGGGGGAGGGAGGGGGGCATTGAGAATAGAGGAATCGTTGCGAATTAAGGGGGGGCCTTCAGAAAAAGAAGGGGGAAGGGGTTACACTACCCCTGGGGGATGTGTAGGGAAATCACTGCACAGAGACGCAGCACTTCGACGTGCCAAGGAATCTTTGATCACGCCGCGAGACCGGCGAAACTTACGGTCTACGAGATGTGCCAATTCCCTGCGGCGCTGCGCTTTCGTAAAAATGTTCACGTGTTTTCAAAAGCAATTTTTATCGTTTACACAAAGGTAAAAAAAAAAAAAATATTTGGCGAATGACGACGAACGAGCAGGAAACGCGTCTTCAGCATAGCTGCCGCACAGCCTCTGCAACGCTCCAAACGGTCGACTTCCTGTGTCGCAAGATGGCCGTCCGGTGGCCGCATTCGCGGAGCGGGGAAGTGCGATCCAGCAATCGTCATAGAGAAACAGTGCCCCGGCTGATTGCGATTGAGTCAACTGTCGTAGGCTTAATGACAGTTAAGAGCGCTAGTGTAACTAGGGTATTAGATTGGAATCTTACTAATTGCATATCGCTTAGTGGGCCAGAAGAAAGAGGGTAGAAAGTCAAAAGTCTACTCTTCAGTACTATAATAGACGTTGGTAAAGTTGAAGCCTGGGCGAGTTTGTATGACATACTTATAATAGACCTTTTACTAAATACCCAAGCTCAAGGAGCGTGCGCGAGTGCAATTACACGCGCTGCGCGCACTGCCTTCTGCAGCAGTAACTGTTCTAAAGTAAAAATCCAAAACAAATGGCACTTTGCATGCGCTTTCATCAACGTGTTCATCTGGTTGTTTACTTCAGATATTTAACATAGATAAGGACAACGCGTGCAGCGCGTGTACCTATAGGTTCGCATCACTTTTTTTGATGCTTGGGTAAGTTAGCAAAATATCTACTGGAAGATATAGCGGACTATATCGCATCGCCTTTCCTTCGAAAACTTTCCGCCTTTTCACTGTGAGACATCCGCGGTATGTAAAGCACGCCAGCCTACCTCAGCTCACGCACTGGACACGGGCACTGGGTCATTCGGACGTATATATTGCCGCGCGGGCAGGTGGCCAAGCAGGCAGCGCGCTCGTGGCCTAACGGTTATCGCGCGTGCCTTCCGCGCAGAAAGCCAGGGTTCGTTCCCGGCCGCGAAGACGCATTTTTGTTGATTCTAACGTAATGTTCTGGTAAATTCGAGAACCGTGTTGCTGGTTCGAGGTTAGAATGTTCGACACGCCGAACCTTCTACGGCGATTGCTCCAGAAGCCCAGGCGTGTACAAAAGGGGCTCCGCGTGGCAAGCTGCAGTCATTTTCGCCTCAGCGTTCGACTCTGCCGTCACGCCGACTTCGACGCCCGCGACGCTCTGCTTTATTCTGTTCCTCTCTTTTTTTTAGAGCGCAGCTCTTAGGGGCCCGTTTCCGGCTTGAGCGGCGTCGCCGTCGGCGTCGCCGTCGGCGTAACCGCGCGGTGCATCATGGGAAATGTCCCATAATGCACCGCGCGAGCCGCCCACCGGGGTCACGTGACTTCGTGGGGGGCACGTGACCCCCCCGAGGTCACGTGACCCCCCGAAGTCACGTGACTCCCCTGAGGTCACGTGACCCCCTCCCCGAGATCACGTGACTCCCCTGAGGTCACGTGACCCCCTCCTCGAGGTCACGTGACCCCCCGAGGTCACGTGACCCCCCGCCGATGTCGCGTGACCCCCGATGACGTCATCGACACTGATGACGTCACCGGGACGTCACCGGCATCCGCATCGTCATCATCACTGATGACGTCATCAGTGATGATGACGATGTGGATGCCGGTGACGTTATCAGTGATGATGACGTCATCAATGATGATGACGTCATCAGTGACGATGACGATGACGATGTGGATGCCGGTGACGTCATCAGTGATGATGACGATGACGATGCGGATGCCGGTGACGTCATCAGTGATGATGACGATGACGATGTGGAAGCCGGTGACGTCATCAGTGGTGATGACGATGTGGATGCCGGTGACGTCATCAGTGATGATGACGATGTGGATGCCGGTGACGTTACCGACATCCGCATCGTCATCGTCATCATCACTGATGACGTCATCAGTGACATCACTGATGTCGTCACCGGCATCCGCATCGTCATCGTCATCATCACTGATGACGTCGTCAGCGACGTCACTGATGACGTCACCGACATTCACATCGTCATCGTCATCATCACTGGTGAAGTAATCAGTGACGTCACTAATGACGTCATCGGTACCCGCATCGTCATCGTCACTGATGACATCATCAGTGACGTCAGTGATGACATCATCGGCATTGGGGGTCACGTGACCCCCAAGGTCACGTGACCCCCCAAGGTCACGCGACCCCCCTGGTTAGTCGAACCCCCCCCCCCCCCCAGCGCCCTTCCCTCCTCCTCCTCAAGAGCTGCGCTCTAATTCGGCGTTACAGGGAGTTGTAAGCGGCTTTCACTTTTTTTTCGGGCACAAGTTTGCCCTAGGGTTCCTCAATGTGCTTCTGTATAGGGTGATGCCACCCTTTGCAGTACTCGATGCCGACAGCACGCGCTCACAACGAAAATACAAAGAACTCGACGAAAACAAAATGCCGCCATAGCACAGTCAGCGCCACGAACGCGTGCAGAGGCACGCTCTTTCACGCGCTTCTGAACAAAAAATAAAAATAAACGTGTGGGACAAAATGGCGAGATGCCACCACCCTAAGCAAAGCGCACATGAAGGCCCCCCCCCCCCCCCCCCCCCCACCCTAGTTTGCCCTATTAAACTTTTAGTTTCTCCAGTTATTATCGCCTCATCACTTGTCATTCGCGACAATATATGTGCTGGTGAACAATCAATCCGTTGACAAATATTAGGATTCGCGTTCGTGGCCAATGAGTGCCGTGACGGCACTTGTCATCGCTTGCAAATGACAAGTTCTATATAGTGCTAAAAAAAAAATCCGGTGGAAGATTGAAGTCATTATTCAGGTGCCGAAGTACGTAACGACCACGTGATTTCTCTTTTCGCTCGCTTTTGAGTTGAGAAGGAACGTCCAGGAGAAAGAAGTTGAAATATTATTTTATTGCCGCTTCAGACTTTTCTATGCAGGAGTCCCAAGAAAGATACTTCTATGCTTCACTTTGAGTGCGAGCGAGGCCGAAACTACGAGCTCGATCATCTCGCCCTGGACAATGCTTGCACCGTAAATCTGGCCAGCTGTCCTATTTACACGGTGTGCACAATAATCAACGTATTCGTAATTTTTGACTATCTTCGTCTCACGTTAGTATGGACTATTGTTAGCCGCGTGTGCTAAAAGCGCGAGATAGTTGCTTCGAATGAAGCCTCGGCGGTAGCACGAATGCTCGTGCAGCGAGTGCTCCAGTCAAGGCAGTCAAGGCTAGCCGCTCCCGCTAGCACAGCATTCGCGGTTAGTCCATGCCAAGGTGAGACGAAGTATACATTCATCTGCACCTTTTCTAAAGGCCTGTTCACACATGCAGCGGAGCGCTACTAGCATAACGCTGACCTCGCGCTAATCGCGTGCTGACGGGAGCGTTCACCAGCTTTGTATCACACCGTCATAACTGTTGCTCACGGCAGACGATGACTAGCTGACGACACGTAAGCAGCGTTACATCAGCGCTTCGCTGCATGTGAGAAGCGGCTTTTATGCACAAATCCGCAACTCCGTCCTAAATATTTAATTATTTATCGTAACTGGCGAAAGAAGATGCACATTGATTTCTCAATACTTAACGCAAACAAAATAAATGTCAACAAATCTTTACCCTTAAAGATTTTTTTTTTAACATCCTCCGAACTGCGCGGTGGCCACTGAAGTTTCCGTCAACGAACACCAACCCAAAATATTGAATTCTTAAGCCATTTATAGAATTCTAGCTCATGAAAGCTTCTACCCGCAACGTCATTGAGTGCCGTCAATTTGGCTATTACGAAACGAAACATTTATGCTCATTAAAATCCACTTCCCACATTATTCAGCAACTGCAAAGGAATATTGATCAACAACTTGCCGCAAGCATGAATGTGTCCACCTCTTCACGCATGTCTTCCTCCGTGATGTTTTGGGGATCTTTGAAGTGTTCAAGCAGAAGTGTGTCGAGGAAGGGCCGTTTTCGTTTCATGTAGTTAGACCCATTATCTTCCTCGTCATCGAGAAGGGTTCCGGAGCTAATGGTTGCCTTCATGTCCTTCTTTCTTTCTGCAACTACCTGTGATAACAGAGCCAGATTCGAGAAATAAAAATCTACAACAGAGCGATTACAAATGCATTAATTACAAATTAATTACATATAACTTGGCGTGTTTTTAATAGAAAACTTTAGCTGGAAAACCCGGATAACGAGCATAGTTACGAAAGCAAGCAGATCGTTAGCTTACATTAAACTCCATTTGAAGTTAGCAGCGCAGGAAACGGAGCTTAATGTCTTTAACTCGATCTATTGTAAAATCACAGCTTGAATTTGCATCGTCAGTGTAGAACCCCCATCAGCCTTACTTTAAAGATTTGATTGAATTTGTGGAAACCAAAGCTGCGCGTTTTATAGTCCAAGACTTTCAACGGGAAAGTAGCGTTACAGCAATAAAGAAAATATTTAACAATCCCATTTTGAAGCACCGAAGAGCTCATGCGGTCCTAATCATGTTACACAGATTGTGTTATCCCTCCCCAGAGTTGACGAAGCAAAAATATTGTAAACTTGAACATCACATATCACGGTTAACTGATAACTGTTGCACACTTCATTTAACTGCAGCACGAACAAGTCTTTACAAGTACTGAGCATTGCAACTGTCGACCGCTCTGTAGAACAAGCGGTCTGGTGCTCTAGCAAACACAGATGATTTCAGATATGCTCTGAAAGCGCACGACCTGTGTGCCATTTTCTGAATTGGTAGTTTGTTTAAGGAAATGTACGTCATGATCTAATACGTACCCCCCCCCCTTTCCCCAGACGTGAAGCCCTTAAATGGACGATATAAAAGTAATAAAATTAAATGTAATATAAATGAAAATTTGAAAGAGAAATGGATGCACCATCTCACGATATACAAGTAATCAAGCAGCCCAAAAGTGAAAAATTTTCGGCTCGAAGAAAATTATTTTTTTACTAATATAAAGGATTTTTTCGCAATTTTTTATTAATCGCCTAGCTTGATCGAACGACTGTATTAAGGAATACTATTATTATATACGAAATAAGTTATATTTTGTTCTAAGGCAGCTCGAGCCCATAGGGAGAAGTAAATTAGTTGAATGTAAATAGCAAGTTTGGTTCCCCTGCCACACGAAAAAGTTAATATATTTTCATTAAATGATACGGAATTGAGTGACTATACGAACGTCGCAAGCTGATTTGTCGACCCCATATATTCATTCGATCGAAATTACATTAATTTTGCCATGTGGCCGGGGTATGATGTAAGAATTCAGTGACTGCACGCGATAACATCGCTTACATGATTGTGACACTAGTCTAGGGTCCGCGTTGGCTACTTCTACCTGATATTTTACTGTGATCTGTTTTTCTGTGTCCTATCACTGCGTGTCTCGCCATTTCGTCGAAGTATTTATGTATGAAATATGCATTCCTATAGCAATATAATTAATTGCGTGACTCAATGTTTTTTTTTACTTTTTTCTATAGACGTCTTATACGCGTACCTCGTGTCATTTTGTACCAATTATTTAGTGGTGTAATAAAATGTTTGCCCGTGTAATAAAATGTTGTCTAGACCCGCTGCAATGTGCAGCTTTCATTTTAGGTAATAAGACACGCGTATGGGACTAAAAGCGCGTTACGACGGTCGATTCACGCGCGTTGCCTTCGCTTTGACGCGCGCCCCCGAGTGCCTTCCTTTGCGACGTCACGAGAAGAGCGCCACGGCCTTAGTTTCTAGAAGGTGTTGATTGCAGGCAAAAGAGAACCCGAAGGGGGAAAAAAAGTATGAGTCCGTTCACACGCAGAACATACCAGCAAAGAGAGAGATAGACTCTCAGAGACAGATGCGAAGGGACAGAAGGCTTGATCTTGATTTTTTTTTTTCGTCTCCACCATGACTAGCACATAAAAAGTTGTCAAATACACCGTATTTCATACATACATCAATTTAAAGTAAAGGTATGTTTCCACACTGTTCTCAATGAGTGAATGCATTGAAAAAAAAATCTATCCACCGTGTTTAAAAAAGGCGTGCAGTTAAAAATCATTATAGTATTAGATAAAATGAGTCAAATCAAATAAATCCGATTTACAGGATTAAAAAGAAAATCCCATGCGAAAAGTTGAAACTCACCTCTCTCGTAAATGTGTGCAGTTTATTGAGCCAGTGGGTATACTCTTTTCCCTTGGCTGTCATTCTATAAAGACTTTCGGAACGTGCGAGCGGCGTCGCCATCCTTTCCATGAACAGCTCGCTCAACCTGAAATAGAAGATTATAGTACAATCGCGTCTCGTTAATATAGGCACCTTTGATCTTTCTCTCTCTCTCTCCCTTTATCTATCTCCCCCCCCCCCTCTCCTAAACAAAGATCGTCCATAATGTGGGTCGTTTTTAACAACGAGATAAAACCTGCAAAATACCAAATAAATTGTGCTGCGATTGACAGCGGTATTTGCTCTCGAGCGTGTTATTCGGGGATTTGGGCCCTGCTCGTCTGAGGGACAGGAATAGAAGTAAGTGAGCGCTGTGTAGAGGTAACATCTCCTAGAAGAGAAGGCCGTAGCGCTACGAGTGGTTACGTCACAATGTCGAAGAAGGAAGGCCATCGCGCAACTACGTGAGAAACTTTCTGGTATCGACGTGAAAAAAAATGTTTCCTTTCGAGCGGCGCGGTGGTGTTCATCCGACATTAATATACGCTTTAAAAGGGCAGTCTTGTATATGTTATTATATATATAATATAAACGTAATATACAACGTATTACCAAGGTTGAAAGTACCGAATTTATATTTATGATTATCCCCGTAACCGCAGGGCTACGTGTAGTCCCGCACCTCCGCACACTTTTCAAATGAACCGGCTCCGGTGCGACATTTTCTTCCCCTCAAACGGGCTCTAATTCTGGAAAATTTACGTTCTGTGTGAGCTGCTGACTGTCTGAAAAGGAACGCCGAAACATTTCAGAAGGGAAGGGAACCGAAAAAAAAATCTAGACATCGCAGCAGGGAGCGCACACGAGCGAGATGGGTCGACAACGTCAAGCCTTTCGTTCCACACTGCTGCCGATGCTCTCACGTGTGTGTGTTTTTTTTTATACTTCTTTCCTTCTTCCCGTCGTTTTTCTGACGTCAACGCAGTCTCGGGTAGTTTTTTTTTGTGTTCGCTTGATACTAGGGCATTTACGTGGATTCGCGGAACAAGTCCTGCTACGATTTGGCTGACATGTGTGGTAACTAGTCAACGATGACACCGGTCGATTATAGACAGACCTCTCTCTCGGTAGAGAGAGACTTCTTGGAGTTCGTATTCAAATGTTTTCGTGGCGGATATAAAGTGCTGCAAAATGCATGCCTTTACTCAGTTCGTCCCCGAAACCTTTGTCTATGGGAAACCTGCAATGCTCTTTGGTTTGGCGCTATACCTATAGCCACTGAAGCAAGAAATATTGGGTATGCCTGGGAGTCTCGGCTGCATTGTTCAAACATGAGCTATTAATCTGGTGGCGCCGCTTAGCCTAGTGTCTGAAGCAAGAAATACTGGGTAGACCAGGAAGCCGTGATCGCGTAACATGCCCGTACGGGGAGCTAACGGCCCTGGCGGGCCAATAGGAACGTGACTGCGTATCACTGTATTGCGCTTTTACTGGGAACAAGTATCAGGCTTTTCGCTGCGTCATGCTCCAATATGTGTGCGTCGGCACGCAATATGGGTCTTATCGTTCCCTTTTGTCAAGTTACGAGACAGGGAAGAACCGTGTGCTCTCACTCTGCCGGCGCTGCCTGGCTATTGCTGGCTGGCTATATAAAGGGGCATCCATTTTGATAAGGCTCATATTAATGAAACATGCCTGTAGTGCTATTTTCTGTGACGGAAATGGTTTTCTAAACATATATTACTTGTTTTCTATAAGAAGAAAAAAGATTACGAAGGTGTGACAAGATCAGGTGAATGAAAACAAATCCTATGTCAAACTGACTAGGATGTACTTAACACCTAGAAAGAAAAGGAGACAGAAGCTTCAGCAACAGTTGCCGATCTGCTGACACTTGCGAAGTTGGCGTCAGTTTTGCCTAGGTCTTTGTTCCGTTTCATATTACTGCACAATAAGCGCCTCATTTACCTTATTGAGTAGAAATCTAGTCGCCCTCTAAACTTCGCAAGTTCTGGAGAATGTCAGCCAAACTTTTAAGTATCATAAAACTACATACCGATGGACAGCTTTGACATAAACCGAATCCTCATTGCTTTGAGCGTTAAGCGTTTTCCCCATAATGGTTTCTGAAACAGAAAGGTGTCATGTTTATATACTACCAAAATAATCATCATATTACACATGATTACACAAATACATTCTCCGGAAACTAGTCAAAGTAGTAGTTTTGACTATCCGTTCTCACAAAGCAGATGGGTACAATTAAGTCCGCAGAAGTCGAAATGTCATCTACTGGGAAGCGATTCTCTTAGCGTAGCGTCCTCGGCAGTCCATTTTTAGGTGAAGCTTTCGAGGTAATCTTTTTTCCAAACTCCTAGAAACGTTATACACATAGAATAAAAAAAGTGAATTACAAGGTAGCAGGCCAGCGTATAAAACCAGGTTTACCTCCATGTATTTTCTTTCAATAAACCCAATCAATCAACATGCCCATCAATCCTAAATCACAACCGTTCTTTGTTTTCCACGAATGTTAAATTGTTAGTTTACAACTCTCTATTTTACTCTCACTTAATATATTGCCATCTAGTATGGGGTTCATCGACACTAAACAATATGGAAAAACTGTTTTTGTTACAAAAAAAGAAAAAGAAAAAAAGAAGCATATGTAATGTCCCTTATGATGCTCACACTTCTGAAATATTTAGAAATTTTACTATAATTACTATTTACAAGTTATACGATTATAGACTATGTGCTAGTTTCAGGAGGGAAAAAAACAAGGGGCTCATGTTTTTTAGAAAACCTTGCAGGTTTACAGGAAAATTCACCAGCATACCCCACTCGCGACGCGGAGAAGTGGAAGATGGTCACTCAGCGAACGAACTATGGTCTCCAAATGCTTAAATTTGCCCTACCACGCTTGCTAAATAATTTTTATATTGATGGCGTAGATTTTGACTCTAAAACTTCTAAAGAATTACGTTTGTATTTGTGCTTCTGATTTGTACCTGATTTCTATTTTCTGTTTTATTTTGCTCCATTTTTAGGCCAGAGTGCATAGTTTTGTAAATTTTAATTGTTGCTTTTTATGTTTGTCTATTTGCTTAAAAAAAAAACAGGCGAGTGCGTAGTTATGTATCTTTGAATTGTTGCTTTTTTGTGTGTATTTCTTTTTTTTTTTCCGTTTCGTTGCTTCTGACCATTGTAGGGACCCGAGGACCAGTCAAGCTGCATATCGCAGCTTTCTTCACGGGTCCCACCATCACAATCGATGGAAATAAATGTATTATTATTATTAAAGGTCTTACCACAGATTATGTCCAGGGTGCAGAGTGTAACTTTCGGGACCACGTCAAGTCCATTCTGCTCAAGTGACGTCTTTCCCAAAACGCTCGCAAGAATCGTAGATTGGTTATTGATTGTAGAAGTAAAATCTTCCAGGATTCGGAAATGAAACGCTGGAGTAAAAAGCCGCCTTCGTGACCTCCACTTATCACCAGTACTGCCAGAGGAAAAGAACATATAACGCAAGATGATTAATCAATGTCTTTTCACATTGTGTGACAAAATATTGGATGTAGCGGTTTGAGGCGCGCAAAATACGACAGTCGGTGACAGGTCAAGAACGAAGTGGAAGCTCTTCCCACCCCTTCCACATTAGCAGAGCGAATGGTGGAGAGGAGGACGCCTCCTCTTCGGCGATCGCTCTGCTAAAGTGGAAAGGGGTGGGTGGAGCTTTCACTTCGTTCTTGACCTGTCACCAACTATACACACGATGTTGGTTTTCAAAATGTACCAAAGAGATCGATCGATGTGCAACACTTAAGCTTTAACAATATGTACTTTCTTGACTGTACGCAGTCGAGCCACCGATTGGAGACAGGAACTGGTTGCACCACTGCCCAATGTAAAGTGCGGTTAAAAGTGCCAAAGAAATATTTACAGGAAGCACGTAAAATAAAACAAATATACTAATACATTTCATACTCGTTTCTCCAAAGATGAATAAATATACTGAATGTACTTTTCAACATTCTGTCAGGAAATGGAGAGGTAGACGCTGCCTCCAATAAAATTTCTAGAAAAGAAAAGAAGTCTGTTACTTTTAATACGTAACTAAAGACTAGACAATAATTTGTATACACAATTTGCAAAAGAAAAATTAAGCAAGTCATGAATCTGAGGTAGTGGGCACATGGTAACTCTCTTTTTCTGCCAGTATGAATAAATTACTCATCACAGAAAGCTGAAACTCCGGCTGAACGTGACCCTTGTGGTGGGTATAGAAAGCGAAAGTTTGACGACGTGACGTTCTGCGGATCAAAAGATAAAGCAAGAAAACAAGATTTCTCTGAGCTGACGTCCACCTAGTCCTAATATTCGTCAAACAACCAAATGGCAGTGTGAGCACCTGCGCTGTTTATTACAGTGAAGAGATCTTAGACAATCCTGTTTCTTTTTGTCTTGACAAAATCACTGAAAATGCTACAGGCACCCATAATCCAATTTCGTTGTTTGATGGATATTAGGCCCGGGTAAACATTGGCCGATAGAGAAATTTCGTTTTGATATTTTATTTCTGAATTCAGGTAACGTCATAAGTTTCAAACTTTCTCATTCGAGCATTTGCACTAAGGTCACAATCACATAAAAATTACGCTTCTTTTCTTTTCTTTTTTTTGTTTTACCGATGCGCAGTTTATTTACGCATGCATAAACAGGGAGGCTATGTTCGAAATGTTTCGTTTCTCCTAAAAAGAAACGGAAGTGACGATATCGTGTCTGATTGGTTAGAGGGTCAAATGACGAAAGCTCCCTCTTTTGTCACTTGAGCCTCTAGCCAATCAGACGCGATATCATCAGTTCCGTCACTTCCGTTGTTCTTGTTTTTAGGAGAAACGATACATTTGTCGAACACAGCCCTCCAGGTTTTTGTTTTCTTTGTCGGACCCCGTAGTTTCCCGGATCCAGTTTACGTGCGGGTGCGTTTATATGCGGCAGACAAATAGGTGTACATAAAGTATTGTTATAAGGGACACTAAAGTGGTTCCCGAGATCCTCTATTTCACTCGTAATTCAAAAACAGAAAGGCGCGCCATTGAACGTGCGTAGCCAATCACGACGGATCACATCCTGCGCGCGAATCGCGCACATTCGAAAATCAGTCCGCCTTTCGCCGGCCCCCTCGTGCCACTGTACCCTCGTCGAGAGGGAAGCGATCGCTCGCGATTGGCTGTCGCACGCCGACGGCTCCCTCTGGTTTCTGTGCCGAATCGTAAAACACGATCTTGATCCCGTTTTTAATAGGGAAATAAAACGCGTATCAACTTAATCTTTGTTTTGTATTCCTTTGCTAAGAGGACATAGAGTGAGCTATGACCTAAATAGATGACATCAGAAATGGCTGCTCATATACGCGTCCTTTGCTTTGCATCGACTGCACCTGTTCACTACGCTTTCGGGATGAAGGTATTCACTCGGCTTGCAGTGGTGCGTCGCGGAACGAGAAACTGCCTTTCGACCACCATCAGTGTGGTCAAAGCGGAGGAACACTAACCAACTTGCCCATCATTTCATGCTCCAAACATATCCGACCTCAGGATATACATCTTAGAATAATGCACATTTTTTTCCTTATAGCATACAACATTTCTAGCGAACAGAACTTAGCTTTATACGCATGAAAATCAATGCGCCTTCAGACACAAAGCAGGCGCTACGACTTACACACCTTGTCACCAAGCCGGTTCCGAGCCAACTGCGGAGGAACTTGTAATTGAGCCCTTTTGTTATCACCTTGTTGCTTCTGAGCACTTCCTAAAGTAACAACGGATTGCAGACTAGGGGAAAAAATGCTTCTAATTAATCTGACACCACTTCAATTCCGCATCGGAGGTACGCTTACAGACGTACCTCTACAAGGTCCGCTCTGTAGATTGTAACTGTCGGTGTGATGCCGACGTATTCCTGGTGCATGCCATATTTTTGGAAGCACACGTAGAAGCCAAAAAATACGTTGAAGACCACTGGAAGCCACCCAAATTACAGATGGAATATTATTTGCATAATTTTGTCACTTTATTAAAACTATGTACTTAAAGGTCCACTGGCAACCTGAACATCGATGCTTTTTTATGGTCTCAACCGCTTCAAAAGAGCGTCATATAACTAACCAATTCATCGTGAAAAATAATTGAAAGACTTACAAATCTTTGTAGTGCGAAATTAGAGCGTTAAAAAGAAGTATTTCGCAGATTTCTATTTTTTTGTTGTGACATACGTGTCTTATTCAGGGACTTTAAAACATTGTTGTTTTCATTTTAGTGTTTCTTTAAAGTACCATAAAAGGGTGAGTAAAATAATGAACACGTGTACTCTTGTTTTGTAACACTTTTGAACAAAACTGAGCAATTATTATTGTAACTGCAGCAAAACAAAAAAATGAAAGCCGTTTACAACTCCCTGTAACGCCGAATTAGAGCGCAGCTCTTGAGGAGGAGGAGGGAAGGGTACTGAGGGGGTGGGTCAAGTGACCTCGGGTGGCGGGGGGTCACGTGACCTTGTGGGAGTCACGTGACCTTGGGACGTCACGTGACGTCGGGGGGTCACGTGACCTGGGGCCACGTGACGATGCCGATGACGTCATCAGTGACGTCACTGATGACGCCATCAGTGATGATGATGATGACGATGCAGATGCCGGTGACGTCATCAGTGACGTCACTGATGACGTCATCAGTGATGATGACGATGACGATGCGGATGTCGGTGACGTAAACAGTGACGTCACTGATGACGTCATCAGTGGCTATGACGTCAACGGGGGGGTCACGTGACCTCGGGGGTATCCCCAGGTCACGTGACCCCAGGGGCGGTCACGTGACCTGGGTAACTATCGTGACCCTCGTGAGGGTAACCCTAGTAACCCTTGTGAGGGCAACTCTCGTGACCCTCGTGAGGGTAACTCTCGTGACCCTCGTGAGGGTAACTCTCGTGACCCTCGTGAGGGTAACTCTCATAACCCTCGTGACCCTCGTGAGGGTAACCCTCGTGAAGGTTACCCTCATGAGGGTTACTAACCCTCGTAACCCTCGTGAGGTTTACGAGGGTAAGTAACCCTCGTGGCCCTCGTGATCCTCGTGAGGGTAACCCTCATGAGATTAACCCTCGTAACCCTCGTAACCCTCGCAACCTCACGAGGGTTACGAGGTTTGCGGTTACGCCGACGCCGACGCCGACGCCGACGCCAACGCCGACGCCGACGCCGACGGCGACGGCGACGCCGACGGCGACGCCGACGCCGCTCAAGCCGGGAACGGGCCCCTAAGAGCTGCGCTCTAAAATACAGAGTGAACATATAGAATTATGTAGGTGGGAATTTCAATCAAATTGCCAAAGCATATATATTATAGTACGCAGGCGGCCTGTTTTTCACAATGCAGGGGGCCTGTATGCAGTCATACACGAAGACGTGACTTACGTGGTCCGAATCCCGCCGGATTGTCGGGCTGGGAGCACGCTTTGAACATAATATAGAGGTTCAAGAACGGCAGGACCTCCCTTTTTCCAGCCACGTGCTCCAGTTGTTTTAAAGACTCCAGCTGCTTCCGTCGGGCGAGCGAAAGAAAACAGACCAGCAGAAGTACAAAGGATACGCAAAGGCAAGCACTCCACTTCAGGGCCCAATACGACAGACCGAGCACAAGGCCAGTAGGCGAGGCGTTGGCAACCTCGTTTATAATCCACTGGAACATTCTGTTCAAGGGCAAAGAGTATGCCGTTAGAAAACTGACAATAAAGGACTGGTCATGTATGTACATGCTTGTCCCGTACATAATACTTCGCAAAATCGCAACAAAAAAAAAATAAAGAAGAAAGAAAGAAACACGCGAATGCGCACACAACGTATATTGCAATGCCAAAGTGCGAGTACGGGCAGATATGCACATAGTGGAAGCATCAAGAATGCCTTCATGAAGGCGCCAAGATGATCTATGCACGGGCACTTCCTCCAAATGTCTCAAACTCATTCCATTGTGGGGGCCGGATACCCCGGGACTCCTAAAACTGTCGAGGGTCAGCGGGGGCCGGGTGAAGAGGGGGGAAGGGGGGATATAATTTGGAACAAAAAAAAAAAAACACGAAGAAAAACAGAAAAACCAGCGATGGTGTTTTAGGTTGCAAAGCAGCCGAATCTCTCAGCACAAAAAAAAAAAAAAAAATGGACTTCGTGCTTTCTGCTATTTGTACACTCGCCTTGTCACCAGCCACATTTTAGCTTTGATTTTCTTATGCGACTACTTTGGACGTAGTCCTGATGATATATCACGATTAAAAAAAAAAAAAAAAAATCATCGCCCCGCCACCGTGTTGAAATTTTCGAAAAAGAACAAGAGAGCAACCATATTATCGTTGTCCTGTCGTTAAATTAAACGTACTTCCGAATAAAATATTTCTTCATACTGCAGTTCTTGCTTTCCTAACAATGTTTCAGAATTGTGAGAAACTACTGGTATTTGAGTGCTAAGAGGAAATAATCCTAATTTAAAAAGAAGGCAGAATAGTGCCAAATATGTGAGCATGGTATAGGAGAACTTCGATTTCGGCAAATATGAATAACCGGCATGAGGTCATTATTTAGGGTGCGCGCTCGAGTAACGACCACGGGGGCTTGCGGCCGCAGGCTACTTGCTGCGTGCTTGAGACCCCTATTCTATAGGAAGTGAGAGTTCCCTTTATGACGTTCAAGAATGGGTTTATATCAACTGTGCACGTATACACCATCATAACTAAGAAAAAGTTAAACACTCACTTTTCGCTCCAGTAGTTGTTTCCTGTCCGGGAGATGTTTGTAGACTCACTTGATTATTGTTTTATTCGGTCGATGTTTGCACAAAAGACAGCCGAATGATCTTCACCTCAGCGATAGGGACAGCGATCAGAACTCCACATAGCTGCTCCGAATGCCTCCGGAATCTTCTGACTGGGCAAAGGCCAGGAGGATGCCGGGAAGCTTTCGTGCAAAAAAACACAGATTGAAACATCGTTATCGAGGAAAAAATTCGTCCCTCGTGGCGATCAGCCAACAGCAGCGATCTGCTTGCAACATCTCGTCCTATCTTCTTATTCGTACTCGTGACTTGAGTGTTCTATTAACTTGTACATAATAATCCCACACCCTCTGTAATTCCTTCGGGCCTTGAGGGTACCAATAAATGAAGTAAATAAACGAAATGAAATATGTAAAGGCGTGATTGTGTTACACAAGGACTTACAAGTGGAACTGCAAGAAGGATGTTCAGTGCCAAAAGATTATTGGGATCAAAACTGCAAGAGCCACAAGAAAAACCGGTAACATACCATTCTTTTCTATATTGATAAAAAATAAAAACTTTTGCTCGATCGTTTTGATAAACTTGGGGAGCAAAGAATTCGTCGTGCACGTATTATGCGTAGGTTATTTACTTACTTAGGATTAGTTATCCTCGGTTACGGTGAACATTGAGTGGTTTCAAATGCGTTGCACGCACGACACAAACCCACGCCCTCCGGTATCATCAGAATGATGAAGACGAGACAAATTTATTCTGGAATGGCGTGTGTGGAGTGTGCTTGAATCAGAAGTTTCCACGGGGCTCCACATCTTACGAGGAGCTGCAATTCCGTACTTTTAACACAATCATGGACAATTAGAAAGGCCTGTTTTTGAAGACGACAAAGTCTGCCGTTTTGAAGATCTCAAGTAATTGGATAAGTAACCGTTATTTTTTCAAGTAACCGTCAATCACTTTTTCTGTCAAGAAATCGCGCTGTCTAATCCGATACTTCATAACCACGAGTTATCGTAATTGTAACCGATTCTTTTTTCTTTCTTTGTTTTCGTAATGTGTACAAGATTTGACCGTGATTGTATCACCTGGAGGGGAGGTAAATGCATCCAGCGTTTTAAAGGGAGGAGGGTTTGTCGCGCTCTCTCTATTGGTTGTAGCGCAAAGTCGTGACACCGTGCGCCCGCTGCGCTATTTGTTGACGCGTTCTAAACCCGTCGTCTGCCCGGTGACGTCGTCATTTGCGAGCCTGCCCAGCGCGACGACGTTCGCCAATTACGGCCGGCACCCGTGACTCACATTTAGACCAGCTGTACTCCTTCCCGTTTGCCTCTTCCCCGTTCCAAAGTTGTCAGGCTGTGAATCTCACGGTCCGGAATTCGATCCGCGCTGCACCGTTAGGTATATCTAGCTATTTGCGATTACTGCGACTAAGTATGCCTTTGCCTTGTACGCTTATGCGTTGCCCGCTATGGGCTATGCATGCTTTCGGTGCCTTGACCTGTAACGGCATTTGGAATCCTTTGCCTGATGTCACAGCGCCACATGGTGTCACATGACATTGTGACGTCAGTGTTATCTGACACAGTGACATAATGTCAGTGTCACCTGCCATCGCGTCATATGGCGCAGTAACACATAACGTCAGTGCCACGTGGTGGCCTCGTGCGACGTCATGTCATATGACGTCACGAGGCGTCACACGTCATTTCACGCAGTGTCACCGGACGTCATGTCATGTCACGTGAGACTTTCGCGTCACACACGTTGACGTCATGCGTCATATAATGTAACGTCAAAGTATCATGCGACAAAGATGCTCGTTAATAAAAGCCGGTGTACCGCGGGAAAATCGCACGTCGATCCTTGCTCAAGAGTCGCTTTGTTCGGGCGGTTGCAAGTGCCCTGTCACGTTTCTACGTCTCAACTGCACGGTAACGACTTCCTCGAAACGTTCTCGTGTGCGGACTGTGCGATAGATTTCAACGTCCAATTTAGCATTTGGTTTGCCGATTATACTCACCGAACCTACGCTCCATAAAGATATCCTCGTTTTGTTCTCCAACAATTCCTTCGATTTAGTAATTGTAGGCGCATGTGTCTTGTTCTCACTGTGCAATGCTAGTCCGATTTGCCCTAGTTTCCTTTTAAAATGCAAAGACTCGCAGTTTTGACCTTTTTTTTTTATTATTAGTATCGATTACTTACCGTGACTCTGTCCGCTTCTGCTTCGCCCCCACGAAGTCGGCATTTATGAAGCCCATACTAGCCTTTACTTCCTGTATATATAAGAGAAGGTCAGGGAGTTCGTTACGGAAGTTTCTCCAGCCTTTCTCCCATCGGTTTTCCTCCAGCCTTCATTTAATCTCGAAGCACACCGAAAAGTCTCATTAGGACTTGCGTCATTGCAATAAGTTACTGGAAACCGCGATGCAAATGGCAGCCAGCTGTTAGCGAGAACGCGGCCCAACAGCTTGGGTATTCTGTACAATCGGAAGGACCAACCTGCAAAGGAGTGCAGCCTTAGGAAGTCGCGCCGACTGCCGCCGCAGCTGCCGAATTACAGGCGACGCAATGGTCCTCTTCTTGGATTGCAGACGCCAGCGGTGGTACGCTGTAGAAAAGGCAATCGCACACGTTGCAGCCGTCCGAGCTAATGTCAGCAAATGAGCAGCTCTTTCATTTATATTTAGACGGTGCCCTGCGAGTATACGTCGGTGCAAAGTCAGACCAATCCGGTTTCCAAAACAAACCTCAGAGAGCCTAGATGTCAGAGAGGGAGTAAGTCATACCACAGAGAGCGTTAGCAATTTAATGGCAAACGCCTCCGATTGGGCGCCCGTGCGCGTGCGTCAATCGCCGCGTTCCGAGGCTGAGCCAAGCCTGGAGACGAGACGGTAGGCGCTTTCGACATCTCCTCTCACCTTACTGCAAGCGCGGCCGCCATGAGACACCGCTCGATCAGTTGGAAACACACTCACATCTAGGCACTCAACGTAAATGACGCGACTGTCGGCGCGTGGCGAGCTCTGAACTCTACTGACCGCAAAGACGCAGAGATAGGACGATGTCCTATCTGCGCCAACGGATTAGGTAAACCGGGTCGGGCCACCAGATCAGGGCGGATTGTGTTGGCTTTTGACTTGGCATGCCGCTCTCCAGGAAGCGTGTTCCTTTACAAATTTCTGTAACGCGAAATTAGAGAGGAGCTCTTGAGGAAGAGGAGGGGAGGGTATGCCCCTCTTCCTCCTTTCTTCTCCCTCCTCCTTTCTCTCCTCCTCCCCCGTACCCTCCTTTCCTCCTCTTGCGTACCCTCCCATCCTCCTTCTCCATACCCTCCCCTCCTACCAGTTTCCCCAATAAATATAGCGGAAAAATTGACACCACGTGACCTCAACAGCAGTTCGATTTCCCGCGAAATTTAACGGATAATTGAATTGCAGTTGAGGTCACGTGATTTCAATTTTACCGCTAAATCTAGCAGAGAAGCTGAATTTGTTCATAGGTGACGTGACACCAACTCGTGTGACGTCATTTTCCCCGCTAAATTTAGCGGGGAAACTGAATTGGTGTTGAGGTCACGTGGCGTCAATTTTCCCGCTAAATTTAGCGGGGAATTGAATTGCTGTTGACGCCACGCGACGTCAATTTTCCTGCTAAATTTAGCGGAGAAATGGAATTTGTTCATAGGTGACTTGACACGGTCATGTGACGTCAGTTTCTCCGCTAAATTTAGCAGGGAACTGAAATGGTGTTGAGGTCACGCTACGTCAATTTTCCCGCAAAATTACCGGAGAAACAAAGCTCCTAACGGCTGGTCATCTCCATTTCCAGTGGAGCGCTCTATTACCTGAGCTAACCAGGAGTAGACGTCGGTGGAGAAAACGGGTTTTATCAGCTGCCACCAGTCTAACACGAACAAGGATGAACGGCCTGCATTTTAAGCTTATGGTTATAATGCATTTATTACAAAGATGCAAGCGAGGCGGACAAGAATGACGAAAATAATCCTTGGAGAAGGGGAACAAAGGGGACAAAGTACAAACACAACCAGGGACCTCGCCGCTGGAAATGAAGACGTCCCTGGTTCGATGGCAGGACCAGGCGGATCCTTTCGGTCGCGCACCAATCAACTAGCTGGGTTTGGAGTTTGTGTTTGCTCTCTGTCCCGTTTGTTCCACTTCTCGAGAGATTATTATTGTCATTCTTGTCCAGATCGCTTGCACCTTTGCGTTAATTGCATTCTAATCATAGGATTATGTCAGTCGGTGGAACTGGCATTGCTTATTATCCTATGACACGGACCAGGGATGGGCAAAATACATGCAAATATGTATCGAAATACAAATACAAAATACTTCGTCAAAAATGTATTTAATTACAAATCTGATTACATTTCCAAAAAAGCATTTAAGTACAAGATACAAATACGACCAAATGTATCTGGTCTCCTCCAAATACTTTTCCAAATACATTCCTCAAATTTTGCGCCAGCGACTTCAGGGCACCTGCAACGGGTTTTTGGGTATCTCATTTTAATTTTGCATCGCACACTCGGGAGTTAGTGTGCGAGGCCCTAGTAACGAAATAGAAATATAATCACAAAAAAAAAATGTAATCAGCTTGGACGAAATAGGTGAAAAAAGTACAGAGCTTCAAGCAGCTTTTTTTGTCGATTACATTTTGGTATAGACCAACAAAGAACCGAGACGACCAAGACGCGCAGCACTAGCTAGAGAATATTTTATTGTTGCAACTCGCTCCAGTTACGAAAATCTGGACGACCCGCGCATTGAGAATGTTCCAGGCAAAAATATGGATGGAAATCAGGCTGGAAAGCATCACAGGTTGTCACAGGCACTTATTTAGCCATTCTGCCTGTGAACGTCGATTTCGTCGCTATTCTTGCCCTGGTCTAGCACCGTAATCACAAAGTTACTAAACGCTTGTGCTTGATTGAGAGACACTGCATTTGGTGCAGAACGTAGCTTTCTTCCTGCTCTGGAGAGTGACAATAAATTTGAGGGATGTATTTTCGCCCACAAAACTGTATTTAAATAAAATTGTATTTGAAATACCCAGGTTTTAGTATTTAAATACACACGTCAAATACATTACCCAATTTGTAATTAAATACAAACGCAAAATACACAAAGTATTTGAAATACGTATTTTAAATACTTGTATTTGAAATACTGCCCATCCCTGACAGGGACATAGAAGTAAAGGGGGGTGAGTGCGTTAATTTGGTCGCGCAGTGTGCACTGCGCGGCACTGTTAGCGCAAATACGACATCGTCGTGTTTTTTTTTTTTTAACTTTTACTTGGTACTTATTGGCACGCACCAAACTTTACCTCATAGGTTATAGTGCCAGAAATAATCACTTTCCACCGCACTGGTATCTTTTATGTCTACATTTAGATTCCAGAAAAAAAAAGAAAAAAAAAACGACGATCGCTTTTTTTGTTTTGAGTGTATCCCGCTGTGTATGTTTATGCGCAACAAGGCGTATGCTTAAATATCACGACATATCCCTCTTTTTTTATCACATAGGCACTCACAAATGCGCACACAGACACTCAAAGACAAAGCGCACGCACGGTAAAAGATACAACACACAACAAGAGCAAGGGGGATACTTTCATAAAGGCACCCGGCTGAACCACCGCCACCTCGACAGAAGGCCTCCGCATGGCTTCCTCTCCCTCTCTGAAAGGTCTTCGACGTGCTGATTGGACAGGAGGCCCAGCCAAACACTGACACAGCACTCGTGTCCCATCTCACGCCTCGATCGATCTGACTGGGATGGCGCGTGTGGAGGTCTTCTGTCTAGGTGGTGTTGACTGAACCGTTCACGCACATCTGCTTCCGCGATCTGATATTTTGCGGTGTTAGAATAACGTACGCAAAGGCTTTTCGTACGAAAAGCGTCGTCGCCACCGCGGATGCGCCGAACGCTAACAGCGTTTTGATGATGATGCAATTAAATGCAACTTGAGGTGCAAGCGAGCTGGACAAGAATGAGGAAAATAAGCTCTGGAGAAAGGGGAACAAGGGAAACAAAGGACAAAAAATCCGCGAGGTCCTAGTATCGAACCATGGGACCTCTCCATTTCCAGTGGAGCGACGTCGACGGCATCCTCGCGACTACGATTTCCAGTACAAGACGACATTGCAGTCCTCCGGGGGATGCACGCCACAAACGGTTTGGAAGACCCGACAAAGTCCCAAGGTGGGCAACGATCGCGGGCAACTTGCTCCTTCCGATGCGCGAACGTTTCTTGGCCAAGGTACGGTGTGCGACGGTCAGTACACGAGACATCTCCCGCCGAAGCGACGCAAGCGGACACGACCGGAAAAATTAAACCAGAAAAGCCATAGAGTTATTACCATAAACGCTAGAGGCTCAGCTTGCGCTAGTGTCTACGGGACTTCCGGTTGCAAATTGAAGCAGACAACAGGTCTTCAAGTCTTCGTGTGCATTCCTATAGGAAAACATACCTGATAATTTTCTCTTCGCCAGGGAATAATAGAAATCAGCGTAGTTTCTTTACTCGTAAGGGGTACTATGTAGCTTTATTCAGATTATAAAAATGTAATTTATTTAGTTAATGTTTTTTTGTATTACTGCGCGATGTTCAAATTAGCGAAAATTGAGGCCCTGGTCTATGTTGTTCAGCGTGATATGTCAATACAAGCTATCAATTCAAGCGAAAAAACATGAAAGACGTTTACATTTCTCTGTAACGACGAACTGGAACGCAGCTCTTGGGAAGGAGGAGGGGAGGGTACGGAGGGAAGGATATATGCGCCTCCTTCCCCGCTAAATTTACCGGGAATATTGGCAATGTTAGACGCGTGGACGTCACGTGTGACGTCACACGTCACGTGTTTTCCATAATGGCGTCACGACGGTGGCGTTTTGACGTTACCCTTGTGACCCTCACGGGGGTTACCCCCACGAGGGTAACCCCCTTGAGGGTTACCCTCGTGAGGGATACCCCCTTGAGGGTAACGTAACCCGGTGAGGGTAACCCCCAGAGGGTAGCATAACCCTCGGTAGGGTAGCCCTCATAGGGGTATGTTACCCTCACGGGGGTGAGGGTAATCCTCGTGAGGGCTACCCACATGAGGGTTACCCTCACGGGGGTATGTTACCCTTACAGGGGTGAGGGTTATCCTCACGAGGGTAACCCCCTGAGGGTTGCCCTTGTGAGGAGAACCCTCGTGAGGGTTACCCCCATGAGGGTTACCCTCGTAAAAGTAACCCCCATGAGGGTTACCCTCACGAAGGTAACCGTTGTGACGTCACCTGTGACGTCACACGTCCCATAAGTAGGGTTCCGCGTTTTCGGTTTCTATTTTTTTCAAAATTCGGCGTACTTTTTTCGGTGTTTATTTTAAAATTCAATTTTCGGTTGTTTTCGGCGTATATTTATGCCCACAAAATTTTATCGGCGTTTTCCAGTGTATATACAATAAACACCAACGGTCACCGGATCAGATGATTCTTGTAGCTCTGATATTTTTGATCATTCAAAGAATAAAGGCACAGATACATTGAAAAAGAAATGGACACTTTATTTGGCAAATGTGTGCAACTGTAGAAGAAAAAAGAAAACAGAAGTACAGACAAGTCAGATATAAAGCCTATTTCCCCAAAAAAATGGAACTTTACCGTCTGTACGTCATGATTACGTGACCTTATTATAGTACACACGCATGTACATTCCCAGGTTCTCCTCGTTGATCCGCACTCTTTCTTCCCTGTTAATATAACCCTGACCTTCGAGAATGTCCTCACAACGCTAACACTGTACACTGGCAGGCTGAGGATATGAAGAGCTGCCTGAGCCAAAATTGGCCCATCAACCAATGTGACCACCAAAAGATACACGGTGCGACGTACTTGAAGCACAATATAACATGCAGAGCTTGAATCAAGTCAGTCTTCTTTACAACGAGTTAAAAAACACGCTTGTATATGGGGAGTCAGGGGGCATTTCAGACTTCACGTTCGGATCGATGATGTGGCACATTCAAACCAAAACGTCGTGATGGCATCCGTGTATCCCATCAATTCGGGCACATTTCGATAGACACTGTCGTTCCATTTTTTCGCCACAGCTCTGCGGTACGACTACAAGGTCAAAGTGAGCTTTTCCGGTTAAAACGGAATTTTAGAAATTGAATGCGACGTATTTTTATCGGTTTCAATCGAAAATGCCGAGCCTAAAAACTGACCTTTTTCGGTTAAAACCGAATTTCCGAAAATGGATTTGGCGTACTTCTATCGGTTTTTATCGGTTTAAACCGAAAACGCCGAACCCTACCCATAAGGCAACGCGCGGTTACGCCGACACCGCTCAACCCGCAAACGGGCGCCTAAGAGCTGCGCACTAAAAGAACAATTCAAAATTGTGTAGGGTTTATTCAAGCTGCAGTAGCATTCAGGTGACGGAAACGCAGTTTGTTACTAATGCGCAGTTTGTTACTAATCCAGTCCGTGTTCTTCGTTCCATGACTCCATGCTTTGTTCTTGTTGTCTGTTTTGATTGTTTGATTTGGCATATATTAGCATCCTTTCGATGTTTTTTCAAGATGATTTACTCTGTGTGCTTCATAGCATTGACTATATGCGTAAATACGTGCCCTATAACAGCAGTCCGCAACGTCAACACGTAGTATGCATGTGCATTGGGCTATTTTAGCGCAGTGTTCAACGCCATGAATTCTAAAGAAAAACAATCTAACACATATTTTTGCACATCCGATTGTTAAAAGTTCGAAACTTTTTATTTTGTCACAAGACTAAGCAAAATTTGCTCTTATGATCGAGCGCGAAGAGAAAACGCATTTGCGTTTCCCCATAGGAATGTATTACCTAAGTTATTTTTAAACTTTTTGCTGTCTGCTTCAAAATTAAATAGCACACTAGCGCCACCTGAACCTCTTGCGTTTATTGTAATAACTCTAAAAGAAAACTTTTTTTTTTTAAGTACAGGATTTGGTGTTAGAAAAACGAGTTGCTACTGTACCTTGGGGGCGTTGTTGCAAGCGCGCGCTCAGGATTTTGCGCCGCTGCGGAGAAACTGTATTCTAAATCTCTGGCGCAGCAAGCGCTAAAGTAAGCGCTAGCGTGGGCAAAAATTGCGTAAGTGATTCTAAAAATCCATGTTATATAATGACATCTTACAAAAAGGAAGGATGCGGCTTCTTATGGTCACGCTCCTTGTTTCATCATTCGTTATTTGGCATTGTTATCGGCTAATGCATCCCACTCTATTGCTACGAAGTAATAATAAATTGCTCCCAACGTTTTTTCTTTTTTGCTGAGGGTGTTTCAAGATTTGTTCATGAATTTAAGAAGGGTTTATGCTTATAAACCGAGCATGCAGCATGCCTCCATGGCTAAGGAGGCGAATAATTAAACACTCGCGTTTCGCTTCAGCTGTTTCCTATGCGAAGGATGCTTGTCGACTTTCTTTGGTTTTGTCTCATTCGGTCGATTCTCGCACAAAAGGCACAGGCAAAAACTGCGATTTAGCAATATACAACAGCGATTAAATCTCGACTTAGCCGCTCGGAGTGCCCCGAAAACCTGCAACGAGGCAGAGACGGGAATCGACGAAGACGCCGAACGGAACGAGCTTATCAAGGAAACACTTCGTCCTTCCTGGCACTGGGCCACGTGAAACGATCGTTCTGGCCTCACGTGGCTTCTCGCACGTCATATATCTTCTTGGAAACGCGATCGACTCAAGCAACGAGCGAAACTGGAAGGAGGCATGATTTGTTGCAACTGTTGATCAATCATGACAGCATGGTATTATATTGGAAAGGGCACTCAGCACTCGGGACAGCGTTGATGCAGCGATGACTTGAACGGAACGTAGCACCATGCGGCGCTGTATCGGCACTGTATCACTAATATAGCGCGAAGTCAAGGCTGCGTCAGCAAGGTCGATGCTATTTCCCGTGCCGGCTAAAGGGGTGTCCAAACACGATACTATATGAACAAGCCGTATCTGATACTGAAATTTGGCTTACTTTGGTTTTTATTTTTTGACTGAATGAGCTATTTGTATATTTTTAGTTTCGCGAAGTTTGTCTCACTCCCGTACAAGGTTTCGCGATGCTCCATGTCAGAAAGAGCTATAAAGTTTTACTTCGCTGCAATTCCATTGATTTGCAAAACCTGCCATATACAGTTCACGGAACATCGACAAATGATACAGCTAAAAAGCCTTAGCCACGGTCATACTTTTTTGTGCGTATGTTGTCCTTCACGGCGTCCATTCAAGTACTCTCCAAAGACGTCGCGGGAATGAACTTAATTCGGAGGCAACTTTTAGGCCTGGGAACCATTTCGGCGGCCAAGAAGACTCTATGGTCGAGGGATTGGAGCTTGTATCGCCGCAGAACGTTGGCAATGCATGACGAGTCTCTCCTCTGACATCACAAACTTCTGACCTGAGAATTAAACATAAAACTACAGTAGAATCTCGATGATACGATCACGGTTCATCCGAATTTCGGAATGATACGAACTTTTCAAAATTCCCGGCCGAAGTCCCTTAAGACTGATGTAATTATAATGCCATTAAATGCAAAGGTGCAAGCGAGCTGGACAAGAATGATGAAAATAATCCCTGGAGAAGGGGAACAAGAGGGACAAAGGACAAACATAAATCTCCAAACACAGCTAGGTGACTGGTGAGCGACCGAAAAAATCCGCCTGGTCCGGGTATCGAACCCGGGATCTCTCCATTACAGGTGGAGCGCTCTACCAACTGAGCTAACCAAGGGTTAGACGTCAGTAGAGCAAACGGGTTTTATCAGTTGATTATTTTCATCATTCTTGTCCAGCTCGCTTGCACCTTTGCATTTAATTGCATTATAATTACAACCTTAACTTGCAAGCTCCACCCTTGTTGGTGTTAGACTGGTGGCAACTGATAAAACCCGTTTGCTCTACTGACGTCTAACCCTTAGTTAGCTCAGTTGGCAGAGCGCTCTACCTGTAATGGAGAGATCCCGGGTTCGACACCCGGACCAGGCGGATTTTTTCGGTCGCTCACCAGTCACCTAGCTGTGTTTGGAGATTTATGTTTGTCCTTTGTCCCTCTTGTTCCCCTTCTCCAGGGATTATTTTCATCAAGACTGATGTGTTACGTTTCGGTATAGTCTGAATCTTCATCGGACCGCGGTGGATCATAGAACAATGGTCGACAACGTTTACAAATCTTTTAGGGCGGTATCACTCGGCTCTGAGAACCGTATCCACCGTTTTTTGCGTTATTTTTCTTGCCGTTTTTTCTACATACGCGCCGCAATCATAATAACTGCGGCTGCGTTCCAAAACTCGAAAACATGCCCACGTCCACCGTTGCTGCACTATCTGTGTTGTCACGTGATTCAAATTCGGATTACTGGAGTAACTCGCATTCACCTACTCCAGGGTTGCTGCTTTATTTTTATTGTCACGTAATAAACGGGTTTTAGCGACTCTTAGTCACTCGAGCGAACACGAGAAACGACATTCGGAATCGGCGTTGATGACGTGAACGTCAACGAGCAAGCATCCTTTGTTTGCACGCGCATGCGCACGTCTGTAGAAATCCGAGCGATTTTCATCAACAAACTTTCGGGAGGATATCCCTCATCCTGCCTCGTCAGTATAGCGTGAGTTGCGACTTGATTTAACATGTCTCGCAAGAGAAAATCGCTCTCCTTCAAAGAGAAGCTGGAAGTTTTGAGAAAAGTGGACGAGGACCCTAAAAGAAAACGCGAGGATTTGGTGAAGGAGTTTTGGAACGTTTTTACACGTTCCAAAACTGTCTCCTGGGTGATATTGAAAAAAAGAAGACTCAAAAGAACATTACTGAATTCTTTGTCCGGGAGCGTGACCAATAAAGGGCATGTAGCCCCCGCTTTGCTTTCATGTACTTATGTGACTTGTTTTTCGTTCATACGAATTTCGGATTATTCGAATATTTTCCGCGATCCTGCGAGATTCCGTAATCGAGATTTTACTGTATATCCAGAAGTGTGTGGTCAAGACGAGGAACAAAATGACGGCCTAACACACTAAACATCATTACACCGTTGAGGGTGTAAATGGCTTGTCCTATAACTAACACCCTTGTTGGTGTAGCAAAACGCCCTAAGAAAAGGGTGTCTTTCCTAGCACCCCTAAAGGACTGCGTTATTCCGAACACCCTCAAATTAGGGTGTGATTCCACTTTATACCATTTTATTATGGTGTTATAACTGCGCAGTGCGCCCTCTGAATTGGGTGTACCAGCGCCAGAAAGGGAAATAAAAAAAGGTGCGATGACCAACACCCATAAAGTAGGGTGTAATAACCCAGAAGAGTGCACGAAAAAATGACTGCAAATTAGTCGAAACATGCATGGTTAACTTTTTATTTTTCGGTCATGGTTCTACCAGGTTCTACTAAATTCTCTATAGACGATTGCAAGCAGGTCATCTGGCCGCAGCCATGTCTCTGCTTATGCGGGCAAGTGCGTGCAATTACAAGCTTGCCAAAGGGCAAAGCTACGTTCACGCGCACGTCATCAAACTTGGCGAAGTCAAGACTGAAAGAAATAGTTCCCTTTAATCCTCGCAATTTCACCACCACCAAGACGCTTCTGAACCAGTGGCGGTCCGTGCGTTTAAGGTCATGAACATTCCAACCGGATATTGTTTCATAACCCCTTTAAATTGTACAACCGAAGGCCCTATAGTTAGATCTCCAACTTTACTTTTCTTGCGACATTTATGCTTTCTAGCACTGGTGACGTGGACAAAACTGGCAGGCTTGCAAAGACGGAACGACCGGGAGTTGCTTGGGACGTAAGCGACAGTTCATGTTCGTAAACAGTAAAATAGTCTATTGAGACGGAAGCAGGACTACTATCAGAAGCATGCTTGCCGAGTGCTTACAAATAAAACAGCGATCTCATTTAATCCGTGATAGATGCATAATCCGATTAGGGCAGCACAGAACAATCTACAACAGAATGTCGAGGATGAAGGCTGTCGCTCACATTCAACGGAAGTTTCGTGGTCGCCGATGAGCAGCTCTTCGTTGAAACGTGCCCAACAAACACAGCGCAATAATTTCATGGACTCCGACTCAAGCGCCGTTCACATATATTCGACCGAGTAGGACCGAGAGAGACCAGACCGGTTTTTAAGCCTCTTGCGACGTTTTAAGGCCCGTTCACATATATGCAACCGAGTACGACCGAGAGAGACAAGACCGGTTTTTAAGCCTCTTCCGACGTCTCAAGACCAGCTCCGCAGCAGCGCACCCGGTCCTACGACGTGCAGCCGTGTAATCGGCCGTTTCCGCTCAAGACGTGGTATACTGTTGCCTGCATTAGCATCGGTCACAGATTCGCGGCTAAATTGAGCGTATGGTTGTCTCATGAACTTTCCCCGAAGTGCTCGCTATTCAGCGCACGGGTATGTTGCTGTGGTGAACGTTCATCCCAAGTTTGTTTGTTTCGGAGCAGACGACTCCTGGCTATAGCAGACGACAGCCGGTTCCTCCGGGCCTCGCGCCTCGCATTTGGCGTTATCATGAAACAGGGTATGCGACCAACACCGATAAAGCCCCATGATAACAACTCTTGTGTCAGCGCACCCTCATTGCCATTGTCTAACAAAGAATTTCGCTATCTGCAGAGCCAGTTACACTGGTTTCTGAGAAAGTGTGTTTAGATCTTATCTTAGTGTTCTGCCAGCACGTGTCAGTTTGTATCTGTATATTGTTTTTCCAAAATAAACTCTTCAGTTGAAGGTTAAGCCCGTGTCCTGTCCATATCTTTCTCCGTTTTGTCCGTGTTTTTTGGCGTCTACTATCCAGTCCTGAGGCTTGTCGTTGTCCCTCTAGTGAGACTTCCGCATAATAAATACAGTCATGCCTCGTTAATGTGGACTTTGTTAATATGGATACTTCGCTACATAGACACCATTTTACTGAGTAAATTCCTGCATTTTGTTTTGTTATTATTAACAACTTACATTGTGGCCACTCCTTTGGGGGAACGGAAGTGTCATATTAAGAAGACATCACTATCGAATTCTTTAGTGTCGAGCTGAACGACTGTGCGTAGTGGTGGCATGACAGGCGTTTGTGGCTGCAGAACACACCGTAGGCACATGCATATGACGTGGAATGTGTAGAATCGTGGATATTTGACATTACATTGATTTCATCATGGTTGCGAATGTCAAGAGGGCAAAGTTGACATTTGCAACAAAACCTTAAATGATGTGGCATGTGGAGGAGACGAGGAGTCTTGTGCTGCTGGAACCCACAAGATATTTCGAAGCACTTTGAGTGAACTATTCAAGAAAGGAATGACATCGACGTAAAAGCGGTACAGAACGGATTTCGGTGCACGGCATATTAAAGGGGCCCTACAAGGACTTTTTTTTTTTTTTTGCTAGTTTTTAATTTGCACCGATCCTTAGCGCCCTGAACGTAGTAAGTTAATAAAACTTTTATTTTATCGAATTTCGCTTTATTTTAAAATTTGTATGCAAATTAATATTACAAAAACAAGCAAAAAATAACCTCCTTCATGGCGTCCTTGCTCGCTTCAGTGGCCGTAAACTAGAGGAGGGGTAGTAAGCTCCGCGAGCGCTCACGGCTGCCGCACTCCGTGTCGACGGCTCGAGAGGGCGCCACTAAAGCATTTTGGATAGGCTGTATGAAGCGGGCAGCTAGTGCGGCTCGCATTGCATTTGCTGTGTGATTAAACACTAATTCGGCATGACACTTCATTCGCCACAAACGACAGCAAACATCGGGTAAACCACAGTTCAGAACGGGAGCCACTTCGCGCTACCATACCGCGAAACGGCCAAACCGCAAGCCAAAGCTTGCGGTTTGGCCGCAAGCTTTGCGTACCTCCTTTCATACCTCCTTTAGAAGGAAAGGAGGTACGAAATATATCGCTATATCTTCTAATCGATAAATATAAAAAGTAATTCATCTTCACCATGGGGCAATGCCAAGCTAAAGAGCCTAAATAATAAGAAGAAACGTGCGTTTAGAAGGGCTCGGTTGTCTGGATTAGCGCGATTATGGGGCACATACTATCAGATATAGAATGACTATATACATGTTATCAGGGAAATCAAGCGAACCTTTATTTTTGTATACAACTCCCATCAATGCTCAACGAAACCCCCAGAAAATTTTGGCAAGCGCTCAATCCCCAGAAGCCATAATGGATGAGTCAAGTGCTTGTGTCGATAACAGCCAGTGCGCCACCATTCTTAAAGAAGCATTCTGTTCCATATTTACTAATGAAAATCTTGACACACTATCCCCCACCATCAGCACTCAGTATCCGATGATGGATCCGATTACTTTTACTTTCCCTGGTATTGTTAACATAATCGACTCCATAAAACTTTCCTCCTCGACAGGTATTGACGACATTAATTCCAAGGTTCTAAGAAACACTAAAAATATCTGCAGTGCTTTGCTCTCAATGATATTTGCTCAGTCCCTCACTGTGGGCCTTGTTTCACAGGATTGGAAAATGAGGAGGGTCATTCCTGTCTTTAAGAAATAGGACCGGTGCTCACCACTTAACTACCATTTCATTTCACTAACTTGTGTATCATCCAAAATTATGGAACACATTATTTACTGTCATGTTGCGCGTTTTCTTGAAACTAATAATTTTTTTTTAATCCATCGCAACATGGATTCAGAAAAGGATTTTCATGCGAAACTCAACTAGCCACACTTGCCCATGTCCTGCGTCTGAACCTCGATAACAACATCCAACAACAACAAACATAAATCACTTGAGCATCTTCAAATAGTCTGACTCAAAAGCCCGATTCAAGTGATGCGATTTTGTTTGCGATTTGCAACTGCGACGTGGAAATGCAGCATCCATCATGCTTCTTTTTTTCTTTTTTAGCCGCAAGAGTAACACCGTTAATGCGAAATCGCGCGTAAAATCACACCATGTGAATGAAGCTTTAGTAGTCATGTGCGTAAAAATCAAAGCCTACTAAGCGACTTCAATGGCGGCCGCAAATTTATTTTTGTTTGTGTTTTCTTCTTCCTTTTTTCATTTTTTTTTTTTTGTACGCGGATTGTATTTAAGAGCGCAGCTCTTAGGCTTCCGTTTCCGGCTTGAGCGGCGTCGCCGTCGGCTTAACCGCTCGTTGCATTATGGGACGTTTCCCCTAATGACGTCACACATGACGTCACGAGTGACGTCACTAAGGTCACGACGATCGGTCACGACCGTCACAGTGAAGGTCACGAGGGTTACGAGTGACCTGACCAGGGGGAGGAGAGAGGAAGGGGAGGAGGATAATGGGAGGAGTAGGAGGGGAGGATGAGGTTACGAGAGGGTACGAAGGAGGCGGAGGGGGACACTCTCCTCTCCGTACCCTCCCCTTCTTCTCCTCATGAGCTGCGCTTTGATTCGGCATTACAGGGAATTGTAAACGTCTTTCATTTTTTTTTTATTTGGACGCAGATGGTACCGTTATTTATGGGAGGTTTGCTCAAGTAAGTTTTGTTTGAGTTTCAATAAATTGTTTTAAAGAATTCGGCAGAACCGCTGAAACTTTTCCTCTCCAACGACCCCAATCTTGTTTTTTTTGGTTTTTTTTCAGTAATTCGAGAGATCATCACGTTTAAACATGATCGAGAAAATTTGTGTTTCCTAACATCTGGTTTCAGGGTCACGACACCACCGCCATGGCCATAAGCTGGGCGCTATTTCTGATAGGCCTCAGTCCTGTGGAGCAGCAGAAAATACACGACGAACTGGACTCCATCTTCGGGGACGACACAGAGCGGCACGTCAGTCACGAAGACATGAAAGAGATGCGCTATATGGAATGCGCGCTAAAGGTGACATATCGTTCAGGTTGACCGAGCTACTGCAGCGAGCTAACCGGTATAAATGCCATAAAGTGTACGTGTATGTTTCTTCTTTTTATCATTAGGAGTCACAACGGATTTACTCTAGCGTGCCGTTCTACTCAAGACTTTGTGAAGAACCTCTTGAACTCGGTGAGTTTAACGTCCCGTCGTATAGACACGTAGTGCAGGAGTTTGTTGATAACGGAGATACAGCTGTTAAAAGCTTGGTTAGGCATTTATATTTAAAAGGGTATGACAGTTAAGTCTTTATTTGCTCCCTGATTCTCCAAAAATGGACCCCAGGAAGATATTCTCTAATTTAAAAAGCATAAACGAGTAAATCAATAGTCATGAGTGCGGAAGCGGTGAGAAATGCGCATAATGTATCATAAAAAGTTCAACGTTTAGAGGTTTTTTCTCGGAAGCGGTGCAAAATAAGTCTATCAACGGAAACTTTTAGCTTAATAGTTAGCGCATTAGGAGGCAAGTTCGGCGCACGAGCTAAGCCTAAAAGATTCCTAGGGTCCACTCCGAATTATATATATAAAATATACAAAAATTAAATTGCCTGTGCCTGTAAAGATGAAAGGTAAAAAACATTTAATAAAATCCCCAGCCAAATTCACTGAGGAGGTCACGACGTTTCAAAACCGGCTCGGGTTTTTCTCCAGGAGCGACTATTTACAGGTATGGGACAGCAGCTTTGTTTTCTTCTACGGTGGTGGTCTCTTGTTTAACTTCTTTGTCGGGCGAATAAGTTCATTGATTAAGGATGATGGTAATGTGCCAGCGGACATATTGGCATTTCCTGGTGTTCTTTGAATAAGCCATGGCTCTATCCACTGGCGGAACTTCGTTTCAACATTTATGACTCGTCACAGTGCTCCGCAACAGCGTTGCGCTCGCAGTCGAGTTTGCGCACATCGTTTTTGTGTTGTTGAATTCTTTCCGAGAGGTTCCTTGTTTCGCCGATGTAGATGGCAGAGCACTCTGCGCATGGAATTGAATGCACAACGCCTTGCGCTTTTTCTTTAGAGAGACGATCTCTCGATCGCGGCATCATGCGCCCAAGTGTTGATACTGGTTTGTGGGGCACCTGAACACCTTTTTTTTTTTTTTTTTTTTTTTTTTTTACCAGCGTACGCGGCAGCATTGAAACGTCGGGACCTCTTTGTATAATATGGTTCGTGATTTTATTCAATTTTTTAAGTTTTTCCTCAACCAGGCAGTCCTGCCGAAATGTTTACATTAAAATTTAAAAGTACAGCATATATGCAAATGGGTGTTAAGAAGTCGTCAATCTTATAGATGTTTGATTTCAACAGGTTCTCTAAGATAGTATTGCATTTTATAGTAAATGTAGCCTGTGCGCTAATCACAAAAACACTTTTATTTTTCAAAAGGCGGCACGATTCTTCCCCAGGGAACAGTAATTAAAATTGCGAACTACTTTTTGCATCGAGATCCAAAAGTATTTCCAAAACACGAAGAGTTTCGCCCTGAAAGGTTTCTTCCCGAGAATTCAAAGGGAAGGCATCCTTTCGCCTACATCCCTTTCTCGGCAAGTCCACGAAACTGCATTGGTAAGGCCGTTACTCTGTTCCGCATCATGAGCAGACACTTCTAAATATATTCTCGTGTTTTATTCTCAGGTCAGAAGTTTGCGCTGTCGGTGGTGAAAATCGTTGTTGCCAACATCCTGCGCCGATACAAGCTTCAGTCCCTCGATCACAGAGATCACGTCCTTTTATTCGCCGAAATGGTTCTCAGACCTAAAAATGGACTCCGAATTAAGCGCATCCCCAGAACGTCTTTGAAGGGTGCTTGACTTAGTGACAAAACGGAATGGCAAAACAAAACAACGAGAAACATTATCGTGGCTGGGGCATTCCAATCTGCATCACTTGTCGGCATCCCATGAATCGTTTTAGCAGGTTTGAAGGTTTTATGGAATTTCAGAAAAGTAATGACTCAACGCTGTTCGGACACCGACCTCTGTAGATGGTTCCCAGAGAATGAAGCTGACAACTCGAGTCCAGCAGTATTCGCATAGTTTATGCCATCACAAAAAAAAAAAAAAAAAAAAAACCGTTCATACACTCGACTGTATACACCTTTTCCACAAGGGCGCAGCCATCTTGAAGGTCGTCACTTCTGGTGCGCGGTAAAACATCGTTTTTATCTGTCCACGCCGCTGGAAGGTGTTTGCGAAAAATGTGTGATTGTCACATATTCTTGTTTTGCCTCGCCTATATTTTCTCGCGTATTCTAGGTTGATACGTTTTATTATTTTTTCGTCCCGCATACCAGATACGGAACCCACGTGATTGAGAACGACAGGGTACAGAAAATGTCTATAGACCCCCTTCGAAAGTATGCCCTCTGTTGAAAGCTGTGGAATCCCTGCACAATGGCAGACACAAAGGACACCGCTAATGCTGGAACCCTAAAGACTCATCTAATCACACTTAACTTCTAGCTTATGTAGCATTCGAACCTCACATTCTGTGGAGTCACTTGCTCCGCCATCGTGCAGTGCTTCGGACATTTTAAGAATGAGCACGTGATTTATGCCTGTTTCTCTCGGTAAGGGGCACGAGCACGCCAGTAAGACGCGCCGATGTAATGCTTGCACCTAAAGCTCCTTCATGTTTCAAAAGTAGCGCAAGGTGCGTCGATGCACGAGCCACGTGCAACGTGCAGCCCTTGGGAACATCATGGCAGCACAGCGCAGCACTGGTACAGTGTACTAGAATACTAGATTTCAGACGCCATGCTCTTCCCACAAGTGGCGCGCGACACGTGTCTCGAGCATTTACACAACAATGAATGACTCTACTTTTCCCAGGATAGAAGGACTTTACTTGCATCGAGCTTAAAGCGCCACTGCCCCGTCTGATCATGCACAAGCCGCGGTCGTTCACAAGTGTGCATCGGCAGCTGTTCACGCGCGGTAAGAGAGTGTCTGAAAGAACTAAAGAAAGTTGAGATAAACAAAAAAGAAATGCAGCTCGCGCTGTCCTACCGAAACAATAAAAGTGATTTTTTTTTTGTTTAAAAAAAATTTATGCATTAACTAAATGCTGCTAGATTAGCGTCCGCGAGTAACGTAAAAGAGCACAATGACGCGCAACTGGGAATGCGACCGAGAAGTATTATTATTTTTTCGCCAGAGGCGCTGCCCAAGATTTAGAGCTACAGCCCTATCCACGACATGTCGCAAACCTGATATTGTGCTAGGATTGCGGAAATTACCGCTGTTCATTTTGTACAAATGACGTCAGGACATTTCCATTCAATAAAGATGGCCCGTGATGAAGAGAGGAGAGCGGAAGATAATGACAATCGCTTCACAAGTCTTTCCCTTGGCACAGAGGTTGATGTCGGTTTCAGAGGCTCAAAGAGGAGGAGGGCCAGAAGGACCTGTTGGCCACCCAACAGGGCCTTCTGGCCACGCAGAGGGAGCAGATGGCTGCCCAGTGGGACCTGTTGGCCACTCAACAGGGCCTTCTGGCCACGCAGAGGGAGCAGATGGCTGCCCAGCGGGACCTGTTGGCCACCCAACAGGGCCTTCTGGCCACGCAGAGGGAGCAGATGGCTGCCCAGCGGGACCTGTTGGCCACCCAACAGGGCCTTCTGGCCACACAGAGGAAGCAGCTGGCTGCCCATCGGGACCTGTTGGCCACCCAACAGGGCCTTCTGGCCACACAGAGGAAGCAGCTGGCTGCCCAGCGGGACCTGTTGGCCACCCAACAGGGCCTTCTGGCCACGCAGAGGGAGCAGATGGCTGCCCAGCGGGACCTGGTGGCCACCCAGCAGCTACAGATAATCGAGCTGCGCAGGGGCACACAAGAAGCGATACGTGGGCTGACGAGTGTAAGTATTCTGTTTTACACCATCAAGCACCCTGGGCAAACTCCAGCCATGGTGCCCCTCCCCCCTTCTCCCGTTTTGTAGGTATAATGTCACGCTGTTAGTAAACATGCGAGTAGTGGGCCAACAAAAGTGTTTTTTCAGATGAGAACCACATTCCGAAAACAAAGGGTGTTCTGTTTAAATAAATAAATAAAAAGCTAAAAGATTGTCAAGAGGGTGCAGCATCGTCCCCATATTGACGGCACCCTAGGTGGTCGCGCACTCCTAGGGCCGGCCCTGCCCGAGAGGCATACTTACTAATGAGAGCACGGACATCTGCATTCAAACCGTCCGTTCCGTTGCACGATACGCTAAGAACATGCTGTTCAAATACTATTATTAAACATGTCCTTATTAAAAGATTTTCAGTAGAATTCGTTTTATGTGAGTATATCCCCTTTCTCCTTTGCCTGCAGGCTGTGGAGGGACTAGCAGCCGCCAGCACACAGCAGTCGTCATCATTGACAACGTTAATACTACACTTCATGGGCGTGTGGAACTTGCAACCACCACAATAAAGAAAACTCAAGACATAATTTCCTTTGTCATTTATTTTATTTTGCTCTAAAGATGACCACATTTACCCTTGCCAACAGTGCACCACAACACACAAATGTTACAATTCTAAGAAGAAAACAAAAAATCGGACTGAAATGCCCCTAATCTATATAAACACTGTTATAACAAGTTTCGAAAATCGGTAAAAGGAAAAAAAAAATCTATATCAAAGAACAGCGAACTGCTACACAAGGCTTCCAATCATGTCATGGTTACTGTACAGCGAGATGATAATTTGACATGTAAGTTACAGTACAGTGACAGGAAAACCTGACAGGCTGGTGCAGCAAGAACCTGTAGGAAGCAGCAACTTTTTAGTGGGGTGTTTTAATATTGCTCAAGAAAACAATAATTATACTTGACATCCCAAGAAAAGAAAAATAAATTGAGTGGATCGTAATTCGTACGCTGCACAAGTGTAGTGAGACGTAGAAGATTTTGTTGTCGATAAAAGAAGCAATGCTTTCTGCATGCAAAAAGCCTTGTTATTTGATTCTGAGTAATCTGAAATTCACGCTCAAGTATACAGTAGACAACTTAATATTTGCAATTGAAATATAGACCCCCACAAATATATTACTGTATGGTAATAGTTGCATAGCACACCACTCCCAATCATGAAATTTTGTGCCTGTGAAATATTCCCGACCCTCATACTTTCCAAATATTAAAAAGTGTCAAGCCCATGAAAATAAAGTGGTTTATAGTGCATGTCATAAAGGGGAAAATTGGTAAAGCACCAAGAGAAGCCAAGGCAAGTATAGAAGGATCATGTCTATCACAGCAATCAATGAAATATATATAAAAGTTGTACACACAAAGTTGTGTCACATCAGACAGGTTGCAACGGACGACTCAAAGAAGCAAGCAAAAGGATAAGTATATTGCACTAACATGATAAACATAGCCATAGACAAAGCCAACAAACCAGCAGGTGCATGTTACCATGCACTACATGTGGCACACATCATGCCAGTGGCAAGAGAAACCACTTCCACTGATTGCCAGCCAGTTAGAAGGTTAGCGGCTATCAACATCTGGCTGAGTGACCTTAATATTCCCAACAGCACTGCGCTCAGCTGTGGTGCTGATAGTCGCTAACCTCTCAAATGATTGATGCTCAGAGGGAATGGTTCCTCTCGCCACTGCAACGGAAATCCCTTAGGCGTTAAAGAAATAAGTAGTCTGGATAGGATGTTACACGTGTGCAGGGCGAGCACGGCGACCCCGTCGAGACGGACGACCCCGGTGGGCAGGACGACCCCGGTGAACAGGACGTGCGTGGCGAGCGGAGGCAGCCACCTCCCTTACTTTGCGCCGCCGCATCGCTTGCCCTCTCTCCCTCCGGGTCCGGGCTTGGGCTTCACTATAGCTGCTGTCTGACCCCTTACAGTCCTCGGGATACGACTCATCAGACACGAGGCGCTCGGGAACAGGCTCTGGGATTGTGCAATAAATGCAGACATTGTGCAAAATGACACATGCAGTGGCTATGTTGCAAGCCCTCTCAGGGTCGTAATGGAGGGCTAGATACCTCTGTAGGCATCTCAATCTGTTTTTTAGCATGCCGATGCATCGCTCCACAATTGAGCGGTTGGACCGATGCTTTCTGTTGAAAGTGGCCTCGGCTCCAGCTGGGTTGCCTGCAACCGGGGTGAGCAGCCACGGCTCCAATGGGTAGCCGCTGTCACCTGCACACAACAATGTGACAGGATCCGTCATGAATATTCTGCCAAAAGTCTGAATGCATTTCTGCTACATAAATGGTTTTCAGGGCAAATACAGCTTCTACTGGTGGCTACACGATTGGGAGTTGTGTACTCTATCCCGCTTTCCTGCGCAAAGATAAAGAGGACATACTGGACAATGTTTAAATGAGCGATTGACAGAGCATCAGTCTATTGTCTGTAGGGTAGCATCAGGACACCTCAGAGTGCATTGTTGCAACTGCGAGCAACCTAGCTTCTATATGAAAAAAGCGCAGTCATTAGTAGTAGACACCGAGATCAGGTAACCCAGGAGACTATGGACGAGATCAAGCAACTAGAGCTACAAGCTGTCAGTGCTCCTCACTATTTCTCTCGGATAAGGAGTGGTGCTTTTTAGATAAGCAAGGTACCCTGCTCAGGTCAGCTCAGGAGCGTGTGACCTCTATATTTTGTTTTCTTTCCCCGGCTTATTTGGTTGTGGCACCTGCAGCATTAGCACTCGACGTCAGCACTAATACAGTTTAGTTGAAGGTCAGCGCTTTTGTCTGTTTGGGGTTTTTTACTCTGTCCGTGTCGTTGCACCTTTTTTACTTTAAAGAACGCATTGCTAAGTAGCCCCAGTTGCTCCTCACTTTCACGAGCCGTT